ATATATATATATATATATATATATATATAGGGTTGGGTTCAAGTGAGAATGATGGTTAATGAAAGAAATAAGAATAAATAGTAACCATTAGATTAGATGATCTAATGGCTAAAAAATTGGTAATAATTTATATTCATTAAGGGTATTATAGATATTTACACCCCCCCTAATCTTACGTCCACCTGTCTGTCTACCCATAAGTACATGCATCTCTCTCTTTTTTTATTTTTTTTTAATCTCTCTATTTATCTCCCTCTCTCTCACACAAGCTACACAGCAAATAAATACACACGCATACAGTGGACGATCAGCACAACAGCCACCACCAGCCGCTCGATTTCCGGCAACGTCATGCCTCAGCGATGGATTAGGCGTCGCCGCACCTCCCCCAAGGCGCAGCGCCACCGTACGTGCTGGAGCTCCGATCCGCCGCCGTACGTTGTGGAGCTCTTGTCGCCGGCTCACCACCACCGCCGTCAAAGGCCGCACCCGAGTCCGCTGCCCGTCATCGTCAATCTGCTACCACCACCGCCGGTCCCTTGCCATCACACCTTCATTCCCGCAGCCTGTTATTCACATCTGCTCCGACCAGCCACCTTAATGACGCCGTCTGGTCCGGCGACGAGTTCTCATCATCGTCGACCTCCCCTCCGTCAGCCATAGCCTGTCGCGTCTCTGTCACAATCCTCCGTAACATAGCTCAGCAGCTTGGAGCTGATGGGAGATCCATTATGAGATTAGAATTTGGGGGTTTTTTTTTTTGGAAATTCGATATCTTCTAGGGGTTTGGTTGCAACTTTCAAAAATTTTAATATATTAAAATTTAATTCATAGGTTAAATTTGTAATTTTCAGAAAATTGTAAATTTAACAATTTTATTTATATTTCAATTTAACCTTGTGTCAAATATGTAATTTATAAAAAATATACTACATAAAAGAATACTATTTTTATATATCTTTTAATTACACTATATAAAACAAAATATTACATAAAAAATAAAATTAAATATATTATTGAACATATTGCACATTATTGACACACATGTTGCACTTTTGTGTTAGTGAGATTGCACATTATTGACAGATGGCTATTTTAAATAACCGATCGAACAATATAAAAAAAATATTTATATATATATATATATATTATTCATCTTCACCAAAAAACAAATATAAACTATTAAATAAAAAATTTACAAATACGAAATATATTTTTTTATATATATAAATAATAATTGCACTTTGAATATGTATTAGTGTCAGATTGATTGCACGTTAATGTATTTTAGATTGCACTTTAGTGTTAGACGTATTACACACTGGTGACTATCAGATTGCACTGCATCGAATGAACCCGAGTGAATTAGTTTTTCGCGTTCAATTTTTATGTCGGACCGATTGTTTGTGTTTACCTTTAAAAATTTAGTTATTTTGGTGCAATGTCATCTTTTTTTTTTTTTTTTAATAACCGAAATAACTGGACCAATCAAACTATATAAAAAATACTATTTTTTATAAAAAATATATTATTTTTTGGATTAAAATATATAAAACGTTAGATAAAAAATATTTCGGTTATTACATAAAAAATAAAATTAAACATATCATTGACCATATTGCACGTTAGTGACAGACGTGTTGCACTTTTGTGTTAGTGAGATTGCACATTATTGACAGATGGCTATTTTAAATAATCGATCGAACTATATAAAAAATTTATTTTTATTTTTTTCTATATATATATATTACTTATTTTCACCAAACAACAATATAAACTATTAAATAAAAAAATTACAAATATGAAATATATTTTTTTATATAAAAATAATAATTGCACTTCGGATATGTATTATTGTCAGATTATTGCACGTTAATTGTATTTCAGATTGCACTTTAGTGTTTGACGGATTGCACACTGTTGACTATCAGATTGCACTGTCGACTGAACCCAAGTGAATTAGTTTTTCGCTTTCAATTTTTATGTCGGATCGATTATATGTGTTTACCTTTAAAATTTTAGTTATTTCGATACAATGTCATCTATTTTTTTTAATAACCGAAATAACTAGACTGATCAAATCATATAAAAAATATATTTTTTATAAAACATATTATTTTTTCGATCAAAATATATAAAACCTTAGATAAAAATATTAATGTGCAATTTACATAATATCAATGTACAATTTTGTTATCGTTAACATGTAATTTACATATCATTAATGTGCAAATAATGATTTTCTTTATAAATTATAAACTTGACCCATAAATTGAAATGTAATATATTAAATTTTATAGATTTGCAATTGAGTCCTTCAATTATATCAAATTCTCAAAAAAAAAAAACATAAATTCAAATATGCAAAGTTCTTGTCTGTCGTCTGCTTTTCTGCCGGCGACAGTACGACGGGGTTGCGGCGGCGACGGGCTCAGTAGCAGCGGGCGAGGGCCGGCGCGGCAGGCGGGTGGTGGTCTCGCCGGCGGGGACCTGAAACTTTTTTGGTGGGGTGACATGGCGGAGATGCAGTGGGCCGGTTGCGGTGGTGGCAGGTGGCGACGTGGGGGATGTTTTCGGCGGCGATGTTAGTGGAGTGGGTGGTGGCGGCGACGGGCCGGTTGCTTCGATTGGAAGAAGATGGCGGACGTCGGAGGCGGAGACGTCGGAGGCGGATGGCGGATGGGAGGCGAGGAAGCTGTAGCCTAACGGATGAGGTGAGACTGGTGTTTGAATGAGGAGGCGATGTTGAGGATTGTTAACGGCGGCGATTGCGGTGGCCGTCGACGAGTTGGCGGGCTCGCGAACGGTGGTGGCAGCGGTTCTAACGACGGCGGCAAGGTGACCGGCGAGCTCGTTGCGGTTGTGGCGGAGGTGGCGTGCCGGGATCGACGAACCGTGGCTGGGCTATGAGCTTGCCGGCCACTGCAAGGCAGAGAGATAGAAAGGTAAAGCGGGGAGAGAGGAGAGAGGAGAGAGGTGGTGTTGGGAAGAGTTATGGTGGGGCCCACTGAATTAATAATTTGGTGAAATTACCCCACTACCACTTAATGTATTTATTTGTCCATGAAATGGCATTATAATTACAATTCGCCACTGCATGTTTGACCAGTATAAATCAATTTTGACTTCATCATGTTCATTGATGTTATTGATCTAATGGTGCATGATCATTCTTATTTCTTTCACTATCTATCATTCTCATATGATCCCTTACCTATATATATATGTATATATATATATATATATATATATATATAGGTGCATGACATAGTGGATTCGAGCATTTTTTGAATTTTAAGAGTATTCTTTATGTAGATGTGCTCGAATTATCTGGATGGAGCATGTGATTCACCATTCTCTTTCACATTATTTCTTGTTGTTTCATATTTTATGTACAAAGTATACGGAGTACGTTGTAACCAGGGTTCAACACGCGGATATAGTTATACGTGGTGGACGTACGCAGAAAAATTGGAAAAGTGGGACAAATGAGATATAATAATTGGAGCATTTTTGTAGCACTCAGAGGAGTGAAAAATGTTGGACTTGAGTTGAGATGTCAACAACTAACAAGAATAAGAAACGAAAGAGGACCAAGAATAGAAGCATATGAATTGTAGGTATATATAGGCATCACTTTTTTGGAAGATTAACTAATGAAGTCGTATAGACATGTCGGGTCATTAACAGAGCTCGGAAGACCTTTGGCAATTGTTGTATATTCGTTAAACACTTGTATAATGTGGCAAAACAAATTATGTTTGAGCCTGTTTAAACCATTATTTAAGAGTTTTTTCGTTTTTTAATTTTTCGGGGTGTACAGTTGTATACGCCTTCTTAGTCATTTTTGCTTCTGCGTCGAAATTGATTTTTCACCATCAAAGTTGTAATATACATTAAATAATGGTGTGTTGTGAAAAAGAAATTTCGATTGAAATTTAAACTATTATTTATTAGTTTTTATGTTTACCAATTTTTCGGGGTACACGCTCTATCTTCATCTTCATTATTTCTTCAGTCTCAATATTAACTTTCCACCATTAAAGTTTGTCAAGTACATTAAATAATAGTTTGCCGTGGCAAAATATTTTTTTAGTCTTTTTAACCATTATTTACGAGGTTTTTCTTTTTTGAAATTTTCAGTGTACAGTAGTACACGCCTTTTGTCATTTTTTGTGATGTCTCAAAATTTATTTTTCACCATCAACGTTTACTAGTGTATATTCCGTGTGATGCACGGAGGAGCTCATATTTTAAACATTTTTTTAGACTTTATTTTAATTATAATTATTTATATTTTTCATATCTCGTCTATATGAAAATAAAATAAATACAAACAATGAAAAATATATATTAAACACTTCTCTTTATACAATATTTTTTTATTTAAGGAATATTATTAAACTTTACGGTTTTGATTTTGTTGAAGTCAGTTATCCAATATACGATTGTTAACGTACAAAAAATAAATCTGTATCAAACAAATGACTACCTATTATAAACCCTGATTCTGAAAAAAGTAGTGTATATGGAACATCAAATAAACATTGAAACAAATCATATCCGATGTATTCATAAAATCTTTTGATAAACAAAACATAAAATGTCTATAAACTGAAAATCGTCTATATACTCAACATATACTGCCATTTGAAAGTTCTAATATATGTTCACAACAGTACTTTTCCTACAATTCTTGCAAATTGCTCCAACATGGCATCTCCTTCACCAGTGATACAGCCGTTAGCGGCGTTGGAGCCTGAACCGTCAGCCCCTCCAACACCACCTTCACCAACGCTGCTCGCATCAAGCCGACAATCCTCCGCCTCGAGAACAAGTTCTCGATTAGTCACGCCTTCTGTCAAAACAAATGTTGAAATCTCTTCGACCGCCCTTCTTGTTCTATGTGAAGGCCTTGGACTTGCCGCCGTTGGACAAGCCACATATTTGATGTGCCTTCGACCTTCAGTGTGTGTTTCATAAGCACCAATAGGAGATTTATTCAAGAATTATGTGAGAGTTTGGTTCTTCGCCATGGAGAGAGAAAGTTTGCATAACTTTCTTTTGAAAAGAGACTTGGATAGTGGATGATTTTGGCAAAGAGGGTGGGCGATTTTGAAAGAAATAATCTTAAGTAAACCCCATTTAATCCGTTATTCCTTAATTAATAGATAGTTTGAGTAAAATTTGAATTCTGGTTTATTATTTTAAGGTGATTTAGTAATTTTAAAAATAAAATTTAATTAGGTTTAAACATGTAATATAAAGAATATATGTTGGTGTAATGCGTATTTTTCTCAAAAATTAACACTTAGGAAACTCCGAATTTTTATTTAGGGACGGATATCGGAGTTCATCTCAAAGGCTATCAAAGGTTACCATCACAAGTTCTTCGGCCCATGTTAAACATTAATGCATGCAAGCATTGAGATAATAATTATTAGCTACATCCCAGCAGAGAATTAACATCAAAGTTAGTCACAGTCCAATAATAATGTAATTAAATATAGTAATAATAATGGAAGCATGCCAATTCAGATTATAATAAGCATTCTATGATCCAACTATAAAATGATTTACAAAAAGTATTTCATCCTGTCATCCCTTCTCATAGCATTATACACCGCTTGTACCTGTGAACATCACAATCGATTATGTCAAATAAGATACATGGATACCAAAAAGACATACGTACTCCACGAAGTCTACACTGACCTAATTTTCTTCGTTCATCAGTATTTTCCAGTTGCACCACGAAAATGAATGGAGATATCCACAAAATCATTTTCCAAGTGAATCTGCTAGTTTGATTCATTATTTAACTATCTTTAGTTGCTCATGAATCAAGCGCTCTTCATGTAAAGGGTGCGTAAAGAAGACCAGAATGTGTCCGAAGCCTAAAGGCTTATTACTTTAACATGTTGCACGTTCGGTTGCGTCCAGACTAGCAGTTATATATTTGTAATTTTTAGCATTCTTCAATAGTAATTATGACACAATCCAGACTAGTTGCTTCATATTTCTAATTTTTTTAGTATTCTTCAACGATATGATACTGTCCTAGCATTGCTGGCCTCGCTAGAACCGAGCAAGGACCACCAGAGCAGCTTGGCCTCCTCAGCAGTTCTTCAGGTTTTTACTTTTCTTATCTTCTCTATTTTTATACACAACAATAACAACATACCCAGTATATTCCCAACTGGTTGGGGTCGGGGGTCAGTTGTACGCAGACCTTACCCTTGTAATTATCTGTTTCCGTAGCGACCCAAGGTGCATTGCGTCGTTTGATATATTTTTTTTTCTAGAAACTTCACTACTAGAAGAAACACTAAAATTTAATTGAGCCATTTTGATCTAGTTCATTATTAACACTATGCCAGAAGAATTGTCAACAATCTTCTCTATTTTTATATCTTCCAGGTTTTTCTGTTCTCGTTTTTTGGGCTGTTTTCTTCTAGTTCATAGTTGTTGAAACTTTTAGATTGAACTGATGTCGTTGAATATTATTAGATGAATGAACGCCCCAACTATAAATGACAACAGAAACAGGTATAGGTTCGAGAGGGTTGCACCTGCTCACTGGAAACAACTTGAACAGGTCCAATGTTCACAGATACATATTTGCCACCCGAGGATATCTTCTGTTTCACTTGACCCTGCAGCAGACAAATTCACATTTTAAAGATTTGTTACTATTTTTTCCTTGTCGCAATTGAGAAGTGAAAGTGACAATAATCTATTAATTTCTCTCATCTTACAACCACATTTCTAGGAACTTCCACGTGTCAGTAAATAAGCCAATTTTCTACGAAACAAACGTTATAATATCAAACATATAAAAAGTGATGTGATTTAAGCTTTGGCACAAAACCAACACATATATATTATACTCATAATCTTAATAACTACAATCCAAGTATCTAAGCTGCCCAACTGATACTACGTACTGACATAGACATGAAAAAGCATAATAACAATCACTAGTGTGACTAAATACGAGTGCATTGCCAACAATATTGCCTTCACACTATATACTTCACTGGGGTGACACAAACATAAAATCAGCATATAGATTATCATATGCAGATATATGTGAATATCAGAGATGTGTATAAATGTGTATTATACAACAAAGAGTTCTTCAGATTGTCAAGGCTCGTCTAGACTGCCTATGGAGAATTTGGGAGAGTGACAAGATCCTATATTTTGCGTAAACAGTAAAGCACCTGTTACATGTCAAAACTGATTTGGCAATTTGAAAAACCAAACAGACAGCAGAAACTGTGTCTCCATACCCTGTTTTCTTGCATAAATAGAATAATAAAGCACCAGTCCATGTCAAAAATGTAAAAAACAAGCAGAAGTGGTGTCTAGTGTATATATCTTTCAAGCCAGTCAATGCCTCCTTAATAGAGTCACTGCTTTTAGCGTGCATTATCAGTCCCTCTCTTTCACAATAGCACCATAAGACCCAGAATCAAGCTTCATGGCATAAAACCGCATGAATATAAGAGCCCCCAGAAAAGAATCACTCATGATTGTAGAGACAAATCCTGCAAAAAGGGATGAGTAGATTTCCTCTTGATTACCTACTCTAGATCATCCAGGCCAGTCCCCTTCAATACCGGCAAACCAATGAGACGGCAAATAATCCATAACGGCATCTAATAGCAGTAGAGCCCATCTATCCATATAAATAGTAAAGAGGCCCCATATAAATAGAGACAATCTCATTCCTGCTCTTACTGCTGCTGGAAAAATAATTACTATTACTGGAAATAATAGGATAATGATAAACTCATATATGTGTATAATAAAACACTCTCCAAAGTACTTATGTGAATAATTGCTATGAATTTCCTGATAATTTTTAAAACTTAGTACAAATATATAATATATCAAAGTAATCATAGTTTCACCTTTTTCTCAGTTCAACACTCATATTTAAAATAAAAAGTAAATAAAATAATATCTTATAAAACAACATTTAAATTAGTCTATCATTCATAATTGAAATATATAAACAAATGAACCTAAATGTTATCTTATAAACAAATTACTGAGGCATGTAATAAATAAATTCAGTAGAACAGTTTTGTGTTGTCTGGCATACGTATGCAAAAATCATGTGGGAAACAAGTATGAACAGAAAAAGAATGTAGACACTATTCTAAGCACAAAAGTAAGCCACAACAGGATCAGAGATAGTCAACTGGACAAGGACCTCACACATCGGAGTGAACTAACTCGAATGGGGCCGCAACCCTTTTATTAATCCTAAGACCTATATTAACACGTGAGTGTTTGCAAGCTGACATGAATCACAAGATAATGAGGATAATGAAAAAATTGCGGACACATCTTAAGATTCTGAAATCTGAGAGAAGGATGGCCCAACCAAATGGTGAGGTGGTAGAGCAACCATGAAACCGTGACCCAAAGTCTCATGCACATAGAGCTCGTCAGATTCATTACCTCTACCAAGGATCATTTTCTTCAAAAGAAATGATAGGAAAAAATGAGACTACAATTCAAAGATTTGTAAGTTTGAAAGCAAGTTGAACGAGAAATTGGGTAGACTTAATACTGAGTGTAGGGAACTATTTTGGTTTGTGTGAATAGATCCAGAGCCAAGAATTTGTGGAGTTGACCCATCAGCTATAGGACATCAGTAGAGTGTACATGAGTTTAAAAAGTGGAAAAGAGGTTTTGGTTACTTGTCATGCAATCAGATGCACTAGAGTCAATTACCCATTTTGTGCCCTTAGAGAAGAGACACGTCGCAGCCTTACCAATATCAGCAAATGCGGCCGTAGGTGTTTAGGGTTTCACGGTCTCCATAAGACGGGAATATTCCTCGGGTAAGATAGTCAGTGTCTCAGAAGATTGAAGCAAGTAACATTAGCAAAACGACCTGTCTACAGCAGGCTGCCTACAGCAGTAGCAGCTTGCCTACTGATTCTTCTCACCCAAATTCGGACAAGTGTGCTTAGTATGCCAATGTTCATGACAATAAAAGCACTCCATACGGTCAATGTTCGAATTATAATTACTGTGAATGGTTGTACCCCTTCCACGAGAGCCATCTCGAAAATTACCATCGCGACTCACAAGAAAACTCGCGTGAGGAGCAGGCAATGGTGCATTCTGGACGAAGAAAGCATGCGAATGTTTCTTGTATAGAAGGTATGGTAGACTCAAACATAAGTTGGGTCTTGAAAGTATCAAATTCAGGACGTAGTGATAACAGCAATCTGTTTCCGCGGTCGTTGCATCTCTTTAACTTTCGCGCTCAATGGAAGGAGTGAATTGAGTTCTTCATAAATTCTATTGAACTCCATAACGTATGCAAGTTTTGTCCTGTTGTTTGCCCCTACGGACTTACAGACCGAGTAAATGCAGGAGATATTACTATGACTAGAGTACAAGAAAGTCAAGCCACTAATTCCTTGACCAATTCACAATGGTTGATCAGTAAGAGTATTTCTGGCTTCAAGACCAGTAGCATTGAATCATTTGGACACAGGCACGTTTGGCGTCACAAGTGGGAGGATCCAAATCAAGGCGATCGTCTTTGTCAATGCTTCACAAATGTACCGTAATAGTTTCACTCCAACCAAGAAAGTTGGAACCATTGAGCTAAACATTCATAATTTTGTTTTAACTGGAACAATTTCTGGTGTAGATGATTATTATTATTATTATTATTATTATTATTATTATTATTATTATTATTATTATTATTATTATTATTATTATTATTATT